TGTACTTCAATTAAATTAAAAATACATTTTAAGAATCAAACAAACACAAATGAGAAATATTTGGATCTAATGTTTTCAGTCTCACTGTTCAAAAGGTTATTTCAAGTGTTTTGTTGTACCACAAGACATGGTGGTCAAACAAGTGACTGTTCTCTGAATGGGAGATGACATAAGATGGCACTGTACTGTTTAACATGACTGTTATAGGTAAGCATGTGGAACAAAACTATCTTAAAAGAATCATTTTTATTTCATATATTGTTTTTATTGGTGATGGTTTTGATTAGTAAAAAACTTTAATCATGTACAGTAATTCGTATGATTAGTATGTAATAAAAATCAAGACATTTTGTGATTTTATTTATCTTGGGATGCTGCAACTCTGCAATGCTTATCACGAGCTTCTGGAACTGAACAAAGATGTTTTCAACACTTAAAAACTTATTTGACATTTAAAAATAATTGTAAAAAACATTTTTATTTCCATTGTAATAAATTTCATTTAATATAAAACAAAATTTGAAATGATCTCACTCATTTTTTCACTTTAAAATATTTTAAGAATTGCAAAACTAAATTCTTTTCATATTCTGTAATCTTTAGAATAAAATCAAACCACATAGAAACCATAAATCACATCAAAACCTTTAATTCTAACGTTTTGTGCTGTATTTAACAAACATTTTTCAAGTAGAGCACAAAAAATAATAACAGAATAAATCCAATATATAATAAAACATTGAAGAGTTTTAATCTAATTTTTATATTATTAATAGCATTAAAATAGTCTACATAAATATTTTACTCTGTATAAAATATGTCAATATCTTAAATGAAAAAATGTAAGTGTTGATTGGAAAAGTTACAGATTACTACTAAAGTGACATAGGGACAATTCTTTCAACATTAACAAAATGTTGAAAGACCTGTCTATAGGTTGAGAAAATTGTCAATAATTAAGTCCATTCTGTCAATATTTGTTGACAGGGTGGACTTAATTACGCATGTATCAATACAAAATAATTTAAAGTTGATCTGAAAAAATCTTAAATACTACTAAAAACAAACATATTTAGGAATAATTGAAATCTTAGTACTGAATATTCTGAGTTTAATATAAAGAATTCTGAGAAAAATTTATCTTCATTTCTAATATTTTTAGAAAGTGACTTTATAAATCAGTAAAACAAAGTCAAATTTTTATGACAAAATTTATTTATTGTCATAAAAATTTTTAAAACTGCAATTTGGTTTTATTTTCCGTAAATTGCAATCACTGGGGGCACACAGAACAAAGTTTAAAATACACAGAACAAAATTTTATAGTAATCTCATCAAATAACTTTGCTCTATGTACCCATTGATTGCATTAAGTAAAATAAAATCTAAAAACTACATTTTAAAAGCTTTCACGATATAATAAAATTTATTTACAATCTTTAAGCATATTTTGTCATATCAAATCTTCATTTAAAGTCAAAATAGTATTTAGATTTTGATTATTTTAATCATCATAAAAAAAATTACATTCATTAAACTGCACTAACTTTTATAGAACTAAACCTGACTGTATTTTAGTTATTTTACTTTAAAATTAACAAGGATATATAATTTTCCAAAAGTAAAATTATCATAGTATCCAGAATATTAAGTCAATCTAATCTTTCTGACTATTCAAAGTTGGAAAAAATAACTTTAGTTTGGATATTTATGTTCAAAAGTGTAACTGTTATTCAAATTTCTATTATTTTTTCATCACCACCTAATATATTAGAAAAATCATAACTGATTATTATGAACAAAGATGATTATATAATATATACTCCACTGAAATGTAATATTGAATTGATTAAATTGGGAATTTAATGCACGATAAAATTTATAAATAAATAGTCATTATAGGTAAATATTATATGAATAAAACAAACATTCTTCAATAATTTAACTAAAGCACAATAAAAATCATTTTTCTCTATTTTTAGATTAAAATATTTAAGTATTTCACAAATTAGATTCATCAGAAATAATCTATACATTTATGTAAACAAATAAAATATAAATAAAAGTTAATATTTTTTATATAAAACTATTTCATTGAAACATTAGACATTTTTAATACTTTTATTTAGAGATGGTAAATTTTTAAAAAAAAATCATAAATACTTTATTAATTAACTGTATATAATAATTCATTATTAATTTAAATATGTTCGACTCAACCGATGTGCATACAAATGTCTACCGTACTCATTTTTAGTGATTTATTAGACAAGACTGCTGGAACATATCCAAGAAACATTTCTTAGTCCTAAGATAATTTTGTTGACAAACATAATTTAATATCAAGTATTCAAGCTAATATTTTATATCATAAGACAATTTTGTCATTAAATTTAATATATAATACCACAAATTTCATATTAAATTTGATTATATTGGAAAGAAAATTTGAACAAGATTTAGAAATAAATCAATAAAAGTTTGTTGTTAGATACCATATCAGTTACTATAATTTACAATTTTACTCTCATTTAAGTGTTATTAGGATGTATCCTTTAAAGAAAATCGGGATATTAAAATATTTAGAAGTCTATATCATGATATGCAACCAATTTTTAAATATATTAATTCTTAAAAAATATCTTCAATTTTTATTATATTTTTCCAATACACTGATAGAAATAATGAGAGATTAAACCAGTTAATATATAGGTTACTATATATATACATACATACACCACTTAATAAATAGTGCATAATAAAAATTCACATATGACTAATACCAAATAAAGCAGAATGAATTGAATATGAAAAAAGGAGGAAGGGGAGAAAATTAGCACAGAAGAAACCAATTCAATTTACAAAGGAAAAATAAAATTATGCATAGATATTAAACTAATTCAATTGGGTGGGGATAAGATAAGGAAAGTATCCAATAAACACGTGACATTTGTCCAGGATTCTATATGTCGCCCTGGCAACAGCAGCGAGTGTAGTCTAGACAATGGCAGAGAGCTCAGACCAGCAGACGGCTCGACCTACTTTCACTGCAAAGCAACCGAGTTCAACGGAGCAGCGCTACTTCATTATCGATCGCGTTCATCCAATTGCCTTCGCGCTATCTTCTCTTGTAATGTTCATTGTTTCACACCTGATTGATGACCTTTAAAAGCAACTATATTGATTAACTATCAATTAAATTATCGTTTACGGTCAAAACATAAACCCTCATAAAAGAAAAATCTATCCGAATAAGTTTCTGATTTCTTTGGAAATTGGAGTCCGTGAATAAACATTGATCCGGGAAAGATCCGATTTCCAGGATCCGAGTGAGTCATGGCTGACTGCTAGAATATTCCCGAGTGACCAAGTGCTCAGGGTTTGTTTTTCGCTACGACCAATGATGTAGTAATAGGGGAGGAAGAAAGATCGCATCTTAGATAATCCGCTCTCCATTAAGAAACGGTAACCATAGCGACACCTATCAGTTAAAGTTGGGATTTTTTTTTTCCAAATATATTAAAAAAATTTTTCTGCGAAATTAAGAATTCTATATTAGCCCTTTTCATTATTATTATTACTCGGAATTCGTGTATCGTCGCAATAATAGTTCTAGAAAATTGCATGTCGTATCGACGTGTTCCCAATCGCAGGCGCCAGAAATTCTACGAGTTTTCTGTAACGACCAGAGGCGGGATGTGACAGTTTACCCCCGTCACGTGACCGTAGTTTAGCATTAGTCATCGTGTGCTGACCGCACAATGAAATAAATCAATATTAAAGTATTTCGAAGCTGGCCGACTCTCGATAAGATTAAAAGGGCGAAACATCTGTAAAAACGTCCGATCCCTCTGTTACTAGGCGGTTTTTAAGACCACCCAATCTCTGTCAAGGTCACCGCTGCCGCAAGGGTGGGGAACTATAAATTCGTGCGGACTAACATGTAGTCCAACTTCCTAGCGAATTCCCTGATTAATCGGTTCTGCCATACAGAAAGCGAGATTGCCTGACCCATTTAGTAATCGGTAACGTTATTGGTGGATTGGGAAGATCGTTGAGAAAAGGTTGTAACAGCGTGTTTTGTATGTATATTATATCACCATGGTATTTTCGACCAGCTTTTTGGATTTGGAGCCGCCCCAGTAGCTGGCATGTGGCGCCAAAGCACGGAACTATCGATCTTTACCATTTCGACTCTGTGCTAGATATGAGATTGTGTGAACGGTCACTAACCCGTGACTTCTATCTCATCCTGAATCATACCGACTTCCCGATACTATCAGGACCCAAATGTACCCTAACGCGATCATTTTTATGTATTGATGGCGTCTGAATATCATCCATAATAAACAGCTTCAATCAATACTCCACATAAAGCTAGTCTAAGAGGTATCCTTAAGAAAATAAATTCTTTTATTTATGTATAAATCGACGCGAAAACCGGCAAATGATTCTTATCCATAATTCTTGTCACGAACTTAATCTCAAATCTTCAAAAAAACAAAAAGTCCCGTTAGTCCGATGATAAAAACTAGAAAAACAAAAAATCGCGCACATCAATAAGCTTTAAGTAATATAAATTAATAGTTTTTGACATTTTGAAGAATTTCTAAATTATAATTTACGTTTTATTAACATAAATATTCCATTTTTCTTGTTAGAAAAAGCATTCACCATTTGATTTTCAGTGCCTTAAAGATCGGAGGAACACACGAGGCCCTATCGCTTATTATAGTAATCAATAAAACTAAATGGAGACCCAGATTTTTGTAATGTAAATCGCTAAAAATCTATTTAGACAATTTTTAAAATTATAATGGGAAATTTTCCCGACGAAAATGACTTAAAAATTGAATATATTCTTTTAAAAATATATATATATTAAAAAATATAATTGTATTTTAAATTATTATAAATTGCTTAAGAATATCTTTCACGAGATTAATTTGAGTATTTAATAAATAAATAAACGTCAAAAAATAATGGTAAAATAAACTTACGAGGTGAATCACCGCCGGACGCCATGACGCTAAACAATCCAAACCAAACCAACTCCTTGACTGAACAACCGGCGTTAAAGACGATGCTATATATACTGTTAAAATTATATTAACTATTACGAATTTTCTTATTATATTAATAATTTTTATAAAATTTAAATTATTTTTAATATAATTTTAACGATATTTATCAGTAATATATAAATGACATTTATAATAATCCTGCATACAATCATGTGATTCACGTGACCAAAATTTCCTTCGGGTTTTGAATCACATGATCATTCGTGTAGTGTGTGATTCTATTCCGAGTGTGTTTTAAGTGAAAATATATTTTTCTGTAATAAATTTTATCGTGATATAATTGTACAGTTAAACTACTAAAGATGAAGAAAAAGGTTAGTTTTTATTATAAATTATATATATATTATATATATATTTTTAAATAAATTTTAATGAATAAGTGTGTATGTATTGTATTCTGTGTGTGTGTGTGTATTCACGAAATGCATAAACTATTATTGATAATGGTCAATGCCATTACAAAGTAAACTACTTAATTAAAGTGCTTGTTCATTATGTAAAGAACACAAATATGAAATATTATAATTATCTGATTAATTCTGTATAGAGAATATTTAGGAATTATTATGTTTAGAGATTGATTAAATATGTGAAATATTTTCAAATAAATTTGACGTTAATTATGAATTAACAGATGTATTATGCAAAGAATAGATTCTCTCCTTTTCATGGCCAATTCTGCTTTATTATTATTTTAGTTTTAATTGTGATTAATATCTCACCTTGCATTTTCTGCTAATCTGGTGTTATTTATACTTATGTTTTTGTTGAAATGTCAAGTTTAAAGTAAATGTTATAAATTTGTAATAGCAAATGTAATGTAATTAATTAATGAATTTTCATGGTTTCAATAATTAGAGCAACTTACAAATCAATTTTCTTTTTCTTATGTAATAATTTTATATCGATTTTATATGAAGTACGTGGAATTAAAAAAGATAGGGCTGTAAATGAACTGTAAAGATAACTCATATATTCTGTATATGCATACTATAAGTAGTGTATTCATAAAATATACTGCTAGTCTCTTGTTTCAATTTCACATGATATATACAATAATGTTTTTATGCACGTTAGATTTGCATTTCCATATGAATTACTACAAAGTAGATACAAACTGCCAGTTTATTTTTTTGTGACTATTTATCAGTTCATTAAGAGTTGAAAATATCTCAACTATTGGCAAACTTTTGTTTGTTCAACCAATCAATTCTTCACAACTAGTGTTCAAAATCTTTTCAACCAATCATATTTAACTCGATTTGTATCTAAATGTATCAAAATGTGAAAAAAATTTTGCTTTGGTTAATGTATGTTTGTTTATTGTGGTTTTTATGACAGTTTGGATTTAGCTTTAGTGCAAAGCTTCTTGTATATAATTCAAATGAATAAAATTTAAAATATTTGAATTTATATATATGTGTGTGTTTGTAACATTTACTATTCTGTATTCTGCATTGACTTCTCTCATATCTAATCATTCTATATAGTTACATTTTCAAACAAAAATCTTATAAAGCAGTGGCGTGCCATCATTTGAAGCGGTGGATGCGCCACTTCCCTTGTATTTTCTAAAAAATAAATACATATTCATTTTAATTATATGAAAATAATTGCACAATATTTTATTATAACCGCATTATTTATCTTATTACAAATTTCTATACTACACATGAAAAAAAAAAGATAAGATTGCTATTGTATATTCGAATATTAGTGGCGGAGTGGAAGCACTGTATCATCAGTATCGAAAAAGCCAGATTTGCGCATGCGCTTTACAGAGCACCAACCTCACCCGGTTTAGCTGGTGGAAGCCTAGGACCTTGGGTGGATGCTACACATATACCGCATTCAATTCTATCCAGGACCGGTTCTGGGCTGTTAGCCGCCTGCCTGCTAGATATTTGGCTGCCCTCGCCTGATTACGTGAATCACGAGTAGATTTATAACATACCAGTAAATTCTTATCGGTTATGTTATGTTTTTATGATAGTTCTGTATAGTTGACAGGAGTTTTAAAAAATCCATTAAAATATTTGATATTTTTATTCCGCTCTCCAATTTTATATTACTCATGGATTTCAATGTTAAACCAGTGATATTACGATTTCGTATATCTCATTTCTAAAGGGATGTAGAAAAATATGTGTACAATTCTTGTATAATGTTAAAAAATTAACTGTTACTTTACTTTGACAGCATCATTTACAACTAAATTTAATGAATGAGAGAGATGCACGAGATACAGAAAAAGCTCTAGAATTTATTTTCCTTAAATTTACGATTTATGTATCCATTGTCATAAAAATTTGTCATCCCACTTTTTTCCCAAGACTACAAATATTCGAGTACAAAGTAACCTCTTTTGACTTATTTCTACTTAAGTAGTTAAATAATTAAGCGATTAGGGAATTGGGGACATAAACAAAACCCTGATGAAAGAGCCAAAATTTTACTTAAACAAAAGCTTAACCAAACCATCTCTAGCCGAGTACAGTGGAGACTGATTTCTTCGTATTATTAATGTAATAAAGACAAATTTTTCCAGTTCAATGAGAGTGACTGAAAAGTTGTAAATTTTGGAAATTTCTGAGGACACTTGGTTCTAAAACAAATTAGTTAGAAAACAAATGACTATTAAGTTTAACATATTTAGATTTTTACAGCTATGGTGAGAAATGTTTAAAATCTACAACAGCCCTGTTGCGTCCTTTGAGATACACTAGTGATGCGACAAAAGAGGCATTTGACATTAACAGGTATTGGCACCCTTGGCATTTGGCATGCATGCACGCACTGCACACCTACCAAGATTGTCTCTGATTCCACTTGTAGGGAGCTATTTGACTAAGTGGTTAAGATTTAAAGAGTAAAGAATATTTCATGTTATTTTTATGTACGTTTCATTACAAAGCTATATTTAATTATAATTTTCTTTAAAAGTATATTCATACAATTGAAGAATATTTTGTACCAGGTATGTATATCCACCACACATTTTATTTCACCAAGTAAGTTTTTATAATTTTATTTTTAATTTTAGCCCTTATATCGTGGCTAGCGATTCGGAATGTAATTGCGATATTGAAAATTTATTTTAAAAAAGTTTTGGCTCGAGATCATATAATGAAAAAGAAAACATTATTAAAAGAGAAAGGCCAATGCCTAAGTTAAATATAAACGCTTCAATAAAAAAATTTGTTCGATATTTTCACGATAAAATGGCTCTGTAAATGCATAAAAATGCATTTACAGAGTGAAATTAGTGTGTGGAATAAGAATGTCTTTGACAATTTAGCTGGCAAAAGACACGAAAAATCGTCGATTCTTTCGTATTTGAAGCAATTTGGAAATCGAAGCGGAATAGAATTTAACATTAGTAAATAATATAAAATAAATATTGAAAATTGTAACGAGATAATTATGGGTAATAGATATATTATATCTAAATAAATAGATGTTATATGTTTTTATCAAAGCAAGAATTGGCATTTAGAGGGCATAGGGAATCTATTGAATCTAATAACAGAGGTAATTATATTGAACTTGTTTATTTATTAAGTATGTCAGATAAATATTCTATTAAAAATACATTTAGAGAATTAACTGATTGCCCCTGGAAGTCGGCTTGTTACAGAAACACAGCTTCCCTATAATAAAATGTCACGGCATGCCACTGTTATAAAGCATTTAATGTAAAAATTACATTAAAAAAACAGCATTGGTTAATTTGATAGCAATATTAAACTTTTATTGAAATTTGTTCTTGTTCCATAAACTAAATTAAAGAATACAATGAAAAACTAAAAAGTTCTTATTTAGTTTTCAGTAAATATAAAAATTTATAAAGCCTCATTTCCTATATATAATATGAAGCTTGCTACTATAAATAGTAAAGTTATTAGATCACAATGTGAAAATCATGATAGATTGTTCCCAAGAGTTGTAATTACTAAAGATGATGTCATATCAGATTGTCATGTGAACTGAATATTTGCTAAAGTATAATAATAAACTATAGTGCTATCTTGATTTATGCAATGTCTGTTGACATAAATTCGAACATGACTGATGAGTCACATAAATGGCATTATGACCAAATCTTATATATATCTTTTCCCTTATTTAAATGAAGTGAGCATTACAGTTAAAACTTTATAGATAATTGTATTATTATGTATTCATATATAATAGTTTTTAATTATTAAATCATCAAATTCTAGTTATTATAATGATAAAATTACCAAAAAAAACAGCAAACAATGTTATATACATTTAAACAGATTTTTTTATGCATTTTAAACCAAAAAGAATTTACATCCTGTAAATTTTGATAAAATTATTATAATAATTATATATTGCAATTAGAAAAAATATTAAAAAGTGATTGCTTGGTATTAAAGATCCAAGTATGAATGTTTTATGGAAGGATATTTAATCCAAATGTGAAAATGATATCAATGTTAAAATTTTAACAAATTGTCATTACTTGAGATAAAAATTTTGAGGATATGTTGCAATATTGATAAATTTATATAGTCATGTGATATTGAATTGAGAACTGAAGACCTAATTGATAGGAATAACTAAAATGGTAAGTATGAGAAGTCAAAAAGAAGAGAAACATCTCTCAACTTATTTACTATAGAAAAACATTAAACATGATGTTTCAATATATATAATCTTTACAGAAACAATAAATTTAGTTATTGAAAAAAATGTATAAGTTTGAAAAGGTTTAAAAGCTCAAATTACACCATCTGAATCACTTTTATAGAAATAAAAAGATACTGTCAAATAGCAGATATTTAATAAATTTTTCCTGTCATGTTTTAAAAGTCAAGATATCTCATCTCCTAAGAGTCAGATTTTTGAGATTGAGGTTTAATTATAAATGTCAGAATAAGTTAATTAAATTGAATTAGTGATTATATAAGTTACTTTTTTGCAAATAAAACAATAAACTGTAATTTGTTTTCTCTCTTAAGTAATTAAAATAGTACAGAGCTAAACTACAAAAATCAGCAACGAATTGCTTAACTTTTCTGGCAACATTTGGTGGGGCCATCTGTTATATTTTATTATTAAAATCTTTTTTATTTAACTATTATAAAATGGCAAAAAGTTTAATTATGATTGTAGAGATGGGTTTTATAAAAAAATTGTAAATGCTAATAATGAGTAAAATCATCATTAATTAAGTCCAACCCTACTGGAGATACACATGATCCCTTTATCTCCTCTCCTCCTTGACCTTAAATCATCAAAATTTAATAGCATTTATTCCTCTAATAAACAAATCTACCTGCAAAAT